AATGTATTCATATTGTCCTGTTTCTCACAAATATATGTTCTTTACTCTTAATTTACTCTCACGTAAACTAGAAACTATCTAAAGGCTCAGGATTTAACTTGAATAAAATTATTAATCCCATTCTCTCAAACAGATTGGCAAACCCAAATGTTGCAGTATTTCACTCTAATAGTAAATTTCATTTAGTTTTTATTTTTAATTAATTTTGCTCCCTAATATGCAAATTAGTTTCTGCTATGCTCTGTGTTCACATAAGGAGTCACTGGCAAAGTAATAGATTTCTACCTGTATAGTGATCACATTTTTTAGGTCAGTGCTCTTGGGCAAAAGGAAGCAATTTGAAGTTTGGGGAATCAAGTTCAAAACTATGCAATAATAGAATTTAATTGGAAGTACCATATCGTTTGTGCTCACATGAATTGTTAAGATTCATTCTAAAATATAAAATTGTTTTTTGTTATATCCATTTATTAGATCTACCTAAAACAGTACAACAGTCTGTGCATTTGTAGCACCCCAAACATATTGTTGCATAGCAAGGGACACTAGATGCAACATAACAATCAGGTGATATTTCAGGGTTAGTGAATATATTTCATCAAACCCCACTTGTTTATCTTGTGTTACTTCATGTACATTGACCGTCACTCTACACATCTTTTTAGGTATGCTCGCATCTGTGGCTCAAAGCATAGTTCGCTTTAGCTAAGAGTATCACTAAGAATATAATTCATCAAAACCTTTTGCAGCATATCTTCCCCTTCAGTCCAATTGTTTGTTTTAAGCCAGTTGCTCTCCGTTTTAAATTATGGAAGCAGTTCTCAAACTTTTGATCTGAGCACCCTTTTGTGCCCCAAAAATTGATCAAGGACCCTGAAGAGATTTTGTGTATGTGGTTTATATCCATTAATATTTACCATAGTAGAAATTAAAACTGAAATATTAAAATATGTATTATTTATTTTTAAAGACAAAACCCCAATAGGTTTTATTATAAATCATGTTTTAATAAAAAACAACAATATTTTTTCAAAATTTAGTGAGAATTTAAAATTCTTTTAAAACCTGGGTTTAATCAATCCAAGATACCTAGATTTTTACATCTTCTGCTTTTAATTTATTGAGATTTTATTGTTGTTGTTTAAGTATATAAAGAAACTCTAACCTCACACAGATATCTATTTAGAGAAGGGATATATTTTAATATGCTTTCAGAAAATTGTGGATATTTTTATTTGATACTACACCAAACTCAATAAATTATAATTTATTAAAAGTTGGTTATAATGTGGATTCTGAAACCATACTAATGAACTTTATATACTTAATATTGACATCTATAGGTCTATTTTTCACTACGAACAGATTTTTACCCAAGCATGATTTGTAAACTGCGCTTTCGTGTTTTGGAAAATATTAGGGAGTTATGCAGATCTTCTAAATATTGTAACATTACATAATATAACATAAAAATATAATATTCATTAACAGCTGCTGTAATCTCATCATGGTTCTGAATCGGCTAAGTTCAAGGTGGCCAGTATAAGCTTCTCAAGCTTCTTTTTCACTTGGAAAATTTGAATTTTTTTTTTCATTGACACTAGGTAAATAAATTTGTTTTCCATAAATAATGTAATTTGTATGTACATTGTCAAGAAACTGTCTACCAAATATCCAAGTTTGTAGAGCCATAGATACCTTTTTGATTTCTCTTTCATTTAAAAACTAGGAGCCCAGTGCATGAATTCATGCACCTTGAAAAGAACTATGGGCCACGAGGCTGCAGTAGGCACAGGGGCGGGTCTCGGCCCATCCTCTGTGCCCCCACCCAGACCCTCCTGCTTCAGCCCCTTGGTTTCTTGTCTGCCGGCAGCCCTGCTCCTGCTGCCACTGTGCCTACCCACTGATGGTGCCGACCCTCCTCGCACCAGCTGACAGCGCTGAATGATTGGGGCTGGATCCAGCAGCTGGTCTGAGCAAGGCCAGAGCCATCAATCAGTGCAAGCGGCAGCTGCTGCCCCAGTGGCCCTCAGGAGCAGGGGGTGGTAGAGAAGCCTTAGGAGTGATCGGGGCTGGCAGCCACCACTCGCACCTGCTGATGGCGCTGAGCGATAGGGACTGGTGCCGGGTGCCAGCAGCAGGTGCAAGCAGTGGCTCCAGCGCTGGCAGCAGGTATGAGCGCCAGGCAGGACTGCTGTGTGCGGGAGCAAAGAATTTTCAGTAACCACCAGAGGCTCGCTCCAATGACAGCGACCAGTGCCCCGTGTTGGTCTGGCGCCCCCACTCACCTGCTTCACTATCCCACTGCAGGAAATGCCTGCCAAGTTCTGCACTCTGCTACCTACTGCCGACACCTGCCATGTTCCACTTGGACCCCCTGGTGGTCAGCGCACA